TCCCAGAGGTTTTCCCTGGGGAACTGGACACCTCCCAGGCTGTTTGCTGATCCCTTACCCGCTACCTTTTGGCTTTCTCTTTATCATATGTGCTGTTCATTCCTTCAGTGCCTAGCCTACCATGCAATTCAAGGGCCAAATAGTAGGGCTGCTTCTAAAGTGACAGGTACTGAGCTGAAGCCCATTCTCTGTTTTAGAGCTTGTTGACATTTGAAGAAGTGGCCGTGTATTTTTCCCAGGAAGAATGGGAGTTACTGGATCCCAGTCAGAAGGCCCTCTACAATGATGTAATGCAGAAAAACTATGAGACTGTCATCTCCCTAGGTAAAGATTCTCCCATTCTCTTTTTGTAGTAGTTGAGTAATTGATCATGCTCTCATCTTACTGGGAATGCACTCCTGTGAGTGAGTCTCTGTTCCAGTAGCTAGTCAGCTTTCAACTTGATAGGATATGTGGAGAAAAGGTGTATCCAAGTCACCTGGGAGCTTTTCCCAAGTGTATATGCTTATTTCTTATCCTAAAATTCTTGATCCCTCCCTCCTCTCTCCACTCCAAATATACTCCATTGTCTTTTTATTTCCATGAATTCCACGACCATTTTCCTAGTATTTCAGGCCAGAAAAGTTGGGTCATCCTTTAGTCTGATCTTGTCATCCCCTGCCATTAATGCATCCGGAGTTCTCTAGCTCTACCTTTACACCATAGCCTGAGTACACCCATGTTTTATCCTCTTATCCCATTAGTATTCTAGTCTAAGCAGTGACTTCTTTAACCAGGTTCACTTTAGTAGTTTTCTAACTGGTACCTCTGCCCTTCCATAGCCTGTTTTCCACAAAGCAGCCAGAGTCTTTTAAAAACTGATAAGGTCATTTCTTTGCTTCAGAACCTTACAATACCTTCTCACACATTCGGATTAATGTCCAAACTCCTTAGGAGGCGCATAGGCCCCTCCAAGGTCAGACCCTTACCTCCCTGTCATCTCTTGCCACTTGTGCCCTGGCTCCGTCCTCCTCAGCCACACTGATCTTCTGATGTTTCTTTAACTTACTATGTTCACTTTTACCTTTTCATTTCATTTACCATACACACTGGACTCTCTGAGTATGGCATTTTCAAACACATTAAGTTTTGCCTGGGTGAGAGCAATTTATGTCATGTGAGGAAAAAGACGAGATTTCTTTTTATTGACCTCACTCATGAAAACAGGACAGTCAGTTGGGGAACTGGTTATAAGGGCTGAGAAAGCCACTCCTACATACCATGTAATACTTATAAAGGAGTCCCATCTCTACTGAAAGAATCAGGATCGTCTATATTTTAGAAATGCCCTCAGGATATTCATAGACATGAAGGAAGTTTCCTATGGCTCTTTTCCAGCCACAGCTGAGCCTGCTCACCAGACTCTAACCTTTCCTGAGCAGATAAACACCAAAGACTGGATAATGGCTCCTGAACTCTTCTTGCCTGAGTCCCAGGTGAGCTGAGCTTTCAAGCTGTTTAGCGACTGCCTTACCCTACTGCCCATGAGCCACACTGCCCAGTAAGTACTCAGAGACATGTTAGCCCAGATGTTCTCCCTGGGGAGCTGGATACCGCCCAGGCTGTTTGCTGATCCCTTGCCTTCTTCCTTTCTACCTGCTTTCTTTAAAAAAAAAAAAAAAAAAAAAAATCATGTGCTGTTCATTCCTTCAGTGCCTTGCCTACCATGCAATTCAAGGGCCAAATAGTAGGGCTGCTTCTAAAGTGACAGGTACTGAGCTGAAGCCCATTCTCTGTTTTAGACCTTGCTGACATTTGAAGAAGTGGCCGTGTATTTTTCCCAGGAAGAATGGGAGTTACTAGATCCCAGTCAGAAGGCCTTCTGCAATGATATAATGCAGGAAAACTATGAGAGTGTCATCTCTCTAGGTAAAGATTCTCCCATTCTCTTTATGTAGAAGTTGAGTAATTGATCATGCTCTCATCTTACTGGGAATGCACCTCTGTGAGTGAGTCTCTGTCCCAGCAGCTAGTCGACTCTCAATTTGATGGTATGCGGAGGAAAGGTGTATCCAAGTCACCTGGGAGCTTTTCTTAAGTATACATTCTTTATCTATAATCTTGATCTCATTCTCATTTTTCCTTTAAAACTCTTATCCCTTTCTCATCTCAGTAAAGGGCAACTCCATTCAACCAGTTGTTCAGAACAAGAAACATTCTCATCATAACCAGCTGTTAATGAATCACTAGTCTCTTGGCTCTGTCTTCACGGTATAGCTTGAGTCCAACTATGTTTCATCTTCTTGTGCTGTTAGCGTCCTAGTCTAAGCCAGGAGCATCTCAAACCAGATCCACTTCAGAATCTTTATAACTGGTACCTCCTGCCACCACTCTTGCCCTTTCATAGTCTCTTTTCCAAGCAATAGGCAGAGTCTTTTAAAACCTGAGCAGATCATGTCATTTCCCTGTTTCAAAACCTTACGATGACTTCTCATCACATTCAGAATAATATCCAAACTTCTTTCCAAGGACCCTCCAGGATATGGCCTTGTCTTGCCTCCCTGCCCTCATCTCCTGCCACTCATGCCCTTGTTCAGCCCTTCTCATCCACACTGGTCTTGCTGTTTCTTCAACTTGCCATGCTCATTTTTACCTTCCCTATCCCTCTACCTGGCACATTTTTGTGCCACATGTCAAAACTCACCTTTAGGTCTGCTCAAATATCACTTGCTGAAAGATGCCTTCCATATACTCTTTTCTCACACAGCTTCACAGAAGCAGAATCTTAAATGCTCTCTTACTAAGCTTTAGTTTTTTAAAAAACATTTATCGGACGTGGTTCCATAGTGTAGCAGTTAGCATGTCTGCTTTACATGAAGAAGGTTCTAGGTTTGTGCCTCCATGGTCTACGGCCATGCCACCTTGAACAAGCCCAATGTCTGATCTCGGAAGCTAAGCAGGGTCGGGACTGGTTAGTACTTGGATGGTAGACTACCTATAGGAAGACCAGGTGCTGAAGGCATAAATAATAATAATAATAAATAAAAAACACTTCTTGAGATTTTGTTTATTGATGTTTGATTGTCTCACTGTCCCAGTAGAAGATAAGTTCTGTGAGATCAGGGGACTTTGGCTTGTTCCCCACTGTATACCTAGTTTACAGAGAGTGCCTGGCATGCTGTAGCCACTTAATACATATTTGTTGAAAGACTGAATGCTGAATACTTCCCATACATACTTGGCAATTTGTATTTAGGAAAAGTCCACTGATTCTGGTCTGTTTCATCCAACAGGATGTGAACCAGTGAGCTATTGGAGTGGTAGAAATCCTTACAAGCCCAGTGTCTGGTGCTCTAGTGATAAATAAAAAAATTGCTGTAATTATGATAGGAATCACTTGTGTATATGTTACCCAATCCACTGACCGTTGGCTCTGCTAGACCTGGTCTTATTCAGAGTGAGTCTTAAAGATTTAAGAGGATTAACCTGTATTCCATGCAACCTCTAGAGTTTGGTTCCACCTTGGTCAAATATGGGGTATTCTTGGTGGCAGAAGAGGGAGAACATGCACATGGTTCCCACGCCCTCTGTCCTTTACATCAATCAAGCTAGGTTTATTTCTCATCCTCCACTTTGCTTCTCCACCTACAAGTGCAGTATAGCATGAACCTGATGCCTGATATGAGCAACTAGTCATTTAACTATTTGGGGTAACTGTAAAAGTGTTCTTGGTTCTTAGTAAAATAGTCTGGAATTAGTGAACCATTGTTAAGTTACCAGTCGTTGACCTGAGTTTCTTCATTTACAGCCATATTTGTGCTTCCCAAACCTAAAGTGATCTCTTGTCTAGAGCAAGGGGAAGAGCCATGGGTCCAAGGATCCCCGAATTTAAAGAACAATGACAAGGAGCTGCCTACAGGTAAATACACCATGGGAAGAGGAGAAATGTGCCTTGATAGGAACCTTTGTAAGGGCTTAACATTTTAAGATTCTACTTACCTGTTTATTAAGAATCAGAGATCTTTGAATTTTTCTTTCCATTTCTGTGATTTTCTTGCTCTGCCATTCACTTGGCTGATTCTTACATTCATTCTAACAGGATTAAAGCTCAAAAATGACACTGAAAATCATGAGGCAATATGCCTTTCTGACTTAGAAATACAAGCACCAGGAGACATAATGTCAAAAAAGGCCAGAGTGAAAGTTCCCCAGAAAACAGCAGGCAAAGAAAATTATGGTGAGATGCACAGGATGGGGAAATGGCACCGAGATTTGCCAGCAAAGAAAAGAAAGAAACTTTCAACCTGGAAACAAGAGTTGCTGAAACTTATGGTTCGTCACAAGAAAGAACGTGCAGGAGAGAAGCCTTTTAAATGCCAGGAATGTGGGAAAAGCTTTCGAGTTAGCTCTGACCTTATAAAGCACCAAAGAATTCATACTGAAGAGAAACCGTATAAATGTCCACAGTGTGATAAGAGGTTTAGATGGAGTTCAGATCTTAATAAGCACTTAACAACACACCAAGGAATAAAACCATATAAATGCTCATGGTGTGGGAAAAGCTTCAGTCAAAATACAAATCTACACACACATCAAAGAACTCACACTGGAGAGAAGCCCTTTACTTGTCATGAATGTGGGAAAAATTTTAGTCAGAATTCCCACCTGATTAAACACCGGAGAACCCACACAGGTGAGCAGCCTTATTCCTGTAGTGTATGCAGAAGAAACTTCAGCAGGCGGTCAAGCCTTCTTAGACATCAGAAACTCCACCAGTGAAAGGAAGATTGTCCAGTGTCTTCATTCTGAACAAATTCAAGTGGAGCTTGACCCTAAAGTTTATGAAAAAATACAGAATTATGAAGCATAAAGATTTTTCATCAGTGAAAAATTTGGAGACATAAACAGGTGTCCCAGAAAGGAATCAAGGTTGACTCTGCAGTACATGTATTTAAGTTGTACTACTTACCCTTTTTACTTAAACACTTCAGGGAATCCCTTAGCAAGAGAGGTATCTGAAGAACATTCTAAATAATAGAAAAAGCTGTTTGGGATTGTACCTGGCAATATAGCAAATATAGCTTCAAATAGCATATACAGCCATGAATCAATTAGTCTTCAAAGGTCACAGAGGTAAATATTGTTGGTTTTACATTGATCTCCCCACCCCCTCTTTAAACACATGATAGAAATATTTGTACCATGGTCTTTCATAACAAAAGCAATAATATACTTGTTTCATTGCATGTCATTATCTTCAGGGTAGCAGGTTTCCAATTTCAATAGTCTCATGGGGGCAGAAATGAATTCTAATGTAAAGTTTTTAAGAACCAAATTGGATTATCTTGACATCGATTCCTCGAACTTTTTATGAATTGAATTAGCACAATATTTACTATGATGAAATCATATTTACTTCACCACTAGGGAATCTGCCAGACAACTAACTAATAATGCACTATCTTATGCTTCTTACTGGTGCTGTTTGAAAAAAGGAAAACATTTCTAATGAGATCAGATGGAAACGGGTTGGAATATTAGCCATGGAATATATGTTGGATGTAAAGAAGAATTTTCTGCAATAATAAATTAGATTGTTTTCTTTCCTCACGATGTTAGTAGGATAAAATAGCCATTAAAATTAGCACTTTCATGAGGCCTGAAAGAAAATTAATGAAAGTTCAGGATTAACTTCTCAGTTATTTGTTTGTGTGCTTTTTCATTTGACTTTTGTTTGTTAAGAATCAGGAGAGAGTTAAGTTTGAGAAGTGGAGCATGTACTGCAGTCAAGATTCTGTGGTTCACTGGCATGATGGCCTAGGAATCCAGTTAGCAGGAGACCAGCTTTCTAAAAGGAAAGTTTTGGGAACTGATGCTGAGTGGTTGGCAAAAGTTGGTGAACCCACATCTATTTTGGTTGTCTTACACTGTAAACTATTAAGCAGGAAGGGTCTACCAGCGTCTGTTTTCTCCAGCACACTATTTAGCAGTAGCCTTAGATAATAAGTTTGATAGACTGCTGAAAATCTCTGTAGGCTTCAGATTTTCTGATAACTCACGCTTTACAACAGTGACTCAAATGTGTTCCTGTTAGAGCTTGTAGGTAGTATCAGAAAAGGGGTTATATTATGTCTTCCAAATCTCTTATTTTATAAACAAGGAAGTTAAGCCTCAAAGAGATAGGTGGACTTTTTCAAGACCCCATAGCTAGTGGGTTTGTTGGCTGTCACTTGGCTTCATTAGACAGACTTGAAGACAGGTTTAACAGGACTGATTTGTATGTTATCTCTCCAGAACCAGCTTGGATGACATTGTATTATATCTATTTCCAGCTTATAAAACATTCTTGTTCCTTGATTGATTACTGAAACACTCTTAAATCTCCATTTTCTCTATGAAATAGAGAAACACTCACCTCAGGGTTGATCTGAGGATCACAGGGATTCATGAAAGAAAAGCACCTACCAGCCTGGCCAACAGTAGATGCTCAGTCCATGTACATTTTTCTTTCCTTTTCCTGTGCTCCCTAGATATGTTGGGAGGACTGACTACATTAAAGAAGCAGATGCGTTTGTGGCTGTTGCAGCTCTTGAGTAGCTGAGCACTGGTGGTTGTTATGCTGACTTGATTTGGTCCATGGCTTCAGTGCCTTTTGGTGTAAGTCACCTGAGCTTTGGTCTTGTATGCACAGCAAGATTTTACTTTCTTTCCCAAAATTAAATATACCAAGTATTATATCTTAAGCACAGCCAGCTCTGAAGCTCTGATCTACGTTATTCTCACTCAGCACCCTCAGCTTTAGAACCCTGGGACTCTGTCTTTTTTTCCCAAGATATGTGTGAATTTCTTGCTCGCACTGCATTCATTCATTTAATTTAATGAAGGTCTATTTTGTACCTAGGCTGTGTTCTAGACCTAGGATATAGTAGTGAACAAAAGACATCTTATCCTATGGGGCTTGTAGTCTTTTGAATAGTAAAATGGAGAATGGTTATGCATTTCTGCTTCTTGTAGTTAGACAGGGTTATGAGGTTTTGGTCAGTGGGTTGTGAGCAGAAGCCTCATTTCTGGGCTGAAGCATTTATTTGTTGGTACAAGACTCTGTATTGCTCTCTTTTCCTGCCTCAGTCATGGAAGCACATACAGAGAGAGGAGTCTTGAGATCAAACCAACCTGGAATGCTGAGTCCCTCACATGACTGATTAGCTGTTCTAGTGAATCCCTCAGATCTGTAATGTACCTTGTGGGAAAGAAAAATAAATTTTTGTGTTTAACCACTGAGGTGTTGGTGCTGTGTATTTTTACAGTATAACCTGGTTTGTCTTAATAGCGGCGGCTATTGTACGAGAGCTCTGGAGCCTTTTTTTTTCCCCCCATTCCACTTGGCCTTTGGCTCACAAGAGAAATCTAGATTCCTCTAGATGCGCCACTAAACTGATATATCACTGATGGGAACAGTGTAAGTGATTGGAGCTTTTAAGTCTGTAGATGATATTAAAGAAAGACTGGTTGCTAATGAGGGAACAAATCCTGGGTAGATCAGTTGTTCAAATGGACAAGGCAACCTCTCTTTCCTCTGTGGCCTTCTTCATTTTTCCTTGTTTTTTTCCCTGTGCTCCACTACCCACGTGCACAAGATGTGTTTCTATTGATTAGTGGGCTAGGGAGAAGTAAGGGTTGCCTTTCATTCTTCATGTGACTGCATTAGACTTCAAGGAATGGTTTGGTAACTACCCTTGTACTTTCTGTGAATTGTGCCTCAAAAAGCATGGGACCTCGGGTAGAAGCAAAATTTCCAGATTGGTGTAGAAAGAAAGGTAGCTGCTCTTCCTAGACAGTCAAGAAGAAGCTTGCGCAGAAAAGTAGGAACAAGACACTTCATTTGGTGAGAGAAGCCTCCAATGGGAATGTCCTATCTTAGGCAGTAACCAGCAGCACGATGTCTCACAACTATTTACGCTTGAAATGTGGGATGGATATGTGGAAGTTAGAAGGAACTTTTATAGGCTAGTAACAAGGATGAGAGCAGATTACTAAAAAAACTACCTAAAATCAAAATCTATTGAGGCTTGTTTTAAAAATGAACTCTGAGACGCAACCCTGTATTCACTCTCTAATGTTAGTATTAAAGGTCTCAGAAATATGTCCTCCATAACCAGATGACTTCTAGGACAGATCGAAAGTGCTTTCTTTTAGTCTGTTCATATAACAGTCTTAAGTGTCTCCAAGGTTGGTTCTGAGTGCTGGATCATTGACCAAGGCTAGCCCCCAAATCTTTGACCCCTTTTCTGCACTGTTGTAAGTGGCCACAGTGCGGGGACCATCCAAGACTCAGAGTTCTTTTTGCTTTTAAGTAGACTGGAACCTCAAGCTGATTTTGAGAACCTCAGCTATCTTTTAACTGGAGGGTAACAACAGGAGAGCTTGGGATAAAACTAAAACTAAAACTGCCAGGGTTTTGGTCAATTTTTGGAACAATGAGTAGTTTAATTCCTCTGGCGAGCTTGCGAGAAAGGATGCTAAGCAGCCTTTTCTATAACTGGACAGTTGGGGTAACAAAAGATTTAAACTCCATAAAGGATTTTTTAAGCATGCACTGAGTCACTCCACTGACAAGTGCTTACTGAATACCTTCTGCAGTTTCCACTCTCATGTGTAATGGATCAAGGCTACCTGTTATTTTTCTTTCAGGGCCTTTGCCTCTAGTGCTTAGAGTAGATTTTTTACTGAAAGTTTCCTCACATCCTTATTTGTGGTTTCTCTCCTGTATAGAGTCTGAAGCTCCCTCATGGAGGAAATGTTAAAGCTTTTCCTGCACTCTATATTTCTGTGGTTCTTTCCAAACAAGTATACAAGCATATTGTTACTGAATCTTTTCCACACTTGTCACTGTTACACTTCTCATGTGGGTTCAGTGGGGAGGAAGGCCAGAGCACCATTTGAAGCACCTACCAAACTTGCTGTATATGTAAGATTTCCTTCGTGTGTAACTTCTCCAATGGGCAAGATACTGGGCCATACTGAAATGCTTTCCGCAGTCAGGCATCTATAAGGCTTTCCTCCTGTATGATTCACCCACATGTGATGTCTGTATTTGACTTAAAGCAGTTCCCCCATCTACCTTTCATGAGAAGAATTAAGCAAGCAAGCTCTTGCAATGAGTTTCAGATTTAGGAAAACTATCAGAATCACTTTTCATTTCTACCACAGTCAACGATTAATCTGAGTTGCACCAATATTAGCACTAACACACAAAAAATTTAAGCTTAACACCATTTGAATACACTGCACCTTTAAGAAAAAACTTAGAAAGCTTACTGTTGAATATTTTAAACCAATGGATATAATATTTCCAACATTATAATTTTCACAGCATTTGTTCATGACTTGTACCATTTCAAAACATTTGAAAAAAAAAAGTGAAGAATCTTTAATGTTCAGGAAAAGTAAAATATTTTTAACTTTAGAAAAATCTTTAAAAAGTTTCAGTAACTTAAGGAATGATAGTTTCTTACACAGAGGAGTTAGGAAAATGATTTTTTAAAAAATGTTTCATCCTTTAACTATGGTAAGTAAACATTACCCAGCATTAAAGCTATTTACCTTCCTAAAAGGAGAAGCTCATATTTCCAATCTTATTCTTCTTTGAATAAAGAGGTGCTTCTACAATATTCTCTTCTTGGGGCTCTGTAAAGATCCCACATTTCAAAATCCAGACTGGCACAGGGACTCTTTCTTCCCTTGACCTTCACTCATGCACTAGTCAGTCATATCTGCTCTTATTGAATCTTCAGTGTTGAGCACAATACTGATAAGTTATAATATGTAATAAAAACGAAAATGAAAATATATCAAATAGGAAAACTTGCCACAGCCACCTGAACATTAGCTTTGGTTACTCGGATCATCCCCTGGCTCACTGATCTCCCGTCTTCAGGAATTGAGTATTTAACAGACATATAATGGCCACGATACCAGTTTTGTTCTTTACCGGAAAGATGGAAAAGAGCATGCAGGTCCTGTGAAGGAGCACACAGAGAAATCATATGCTGGGAACATATAAATGTCTAAGGCTATTTTTCTGTCTGCATGAATGCTTAAGCCCAGAACTCAGGGAGCTTCACCCTGGAATAGAAAGACTGGATTCCATGTGCACCCCAGGAAAAGTATCCCAGCACCCATCTTGACAATGTCTGTTTTCCAGCACTTGCCAATAACAAGGGCCTGGATGCACAGAACCTAGGGGTCTTGCGAGGACTTGGCACCTCTCCTACGGACTCTCTCAACACTGAGCTATACAGAAAGATCTGGAAGGGACCTTAGAAATCTGGCTTTGTCATTGGGTCCCAGACTGGTTCTCAGAAAGAACCTCATTTTTTTTTCTTCCAGATAACCCCTTGTAGTTAACCAGGGTGCTGTGCCCTCCAAAATCATTTCTAGTGTCTGTACACAGGCTAGGGCATGGTAACAGTCTCTCCTATAACCATCTTCTCTCAGGATCAAGGTGGCCTGGGACTTGCAGGTAACAGAAAAAGCTGTTCAATTTTGCATTCCCCTCAACAATGAATGAGAGTTCCTGTTGCTCCATATCCTTGTCAGCATTTGTTGTCAGTGTTTTTGGATTTTCACCATTCCGATAGTTGTATTGTGCTATCTCATCATTTTAACTTGCAATTCCCTAATGACATGATGTGGGGCATCTTTTCATATGCTTATTTATCATCTGTGTACCTTGTTTGGTGGGGTATCTGTTCAGATCTTTTGCCCATTTTTAAATCAGGTCATTTTCTTATTGTTGAGTTTTAAGAGTTCTTTGCATAATTTGTGTAGCAGTCCTTTATCAGATGTGTCTTTTGCAAATATTTTCTCCCAGTCTGTAGCTTATCTTCTCATTCTTTTGACAGTATCTTTTGCAGAGCAGAAGTTTTTAATTTTAATGAAGTCCAGCTTATCAATTATTTCTTTCATGGATTGTACCGTTAGTGTTGTATCTAAAGTCATCACCAAACCCAAGGTCATGTAAGTTTTCTCCTGTGATATCTTATAGGAGTTTTATTATTTTGTGGTTTACGTTTAGGTTTTGAGTTAATTTTGTAAATTCCTCTGAGGGGTTGTAAAAGAGTATAAAATCTATGTAGATTCTTTTTTTTTTTTTTTTTTTTTGTTTGCCTGTATATGTCCAGTTGTTCTAGCACCATTTGTTGAAAAGGCTATCTTTTGTCCATTTTATTGCCTTTGCTCCTTTGTCAACAATCAATTCACCATATTTATATAATCTGTTTCTTGGCTCTCTAGTCTGTTTAAAGCTACATTAATCAAGATGGTGTGGTACTGTTGATATAGGCCTGCTCTTTCAACAGTACCACACCGTCTTGATTAATGTAGCTTTAGAGTAAGTTGGTGCCCAGTAACGTCAGTCCTCCAACTTTGTTTTTCTTCTTTAATATTGTGTTGGCTATTCTGGGTCTTTTGCCTGTCCATTTATATTTTAAAATCAGTTTGTCAATATACACAAAATAACTTGCTGGGATTTTCGTTGAGATTCCATTCAATCTATAGATCAAGTTGAGAAGAACTGCCATCTTGAAAATACTGAATATTCGTATATATGAACATGGAATATCTCCACATTTAGTTAGTTCTTTGATTGCTTTCATCTTGTAGTTTTCTTCATTAGATCTTGTACATATTTTGTTAAATTTATACCTGAGTATTTTTTTGTCCTAATGTAGATCGTATTTATGTTTTTAATCTCAAATTCCAATTGTTCATTGTGGATATATAGGAAAATGATTGACATTTTAAAAAATTTTATTTTATTATTAGTTTCAAGTATACAGTACATTGGTTAGACAATTATATAGTTTAAAAAACGATCCCCTTAATTGTGCTTTCTCTCCTCTGGCTCTCCACCGAGCCATTACATTAATGCTAACTGCATTCCCTATGCTGTGCTCCCCATCCCTGTGACTATCAACTACTAATTTGTATTTCTTTAACCCTTCACCCCATTCTCCCAGTCCCCCAACTCTCCTCACCAGATTGTCCTCTATATTTGTGAGTCTGCTTTTGATTAGTTTGTTCTTTTTGTTCCTTCGATTCTGCATATAAGCGAAATCATATGGTATTTATCTTTCTCTGTCTGACTTATTTTACTCAGCATAAGAACTTCTAGGTCCATCCATATCATTGCAAATAATAGGATTTCATTTTTTTAATGGCTGAGTAATATTCCATTGTATATACAAACCATAACTTCTTTATCCAATCGTCTGTTGATG